CCGCCCCATTGAGAAAAATGCTGCGGGTTCCAGTCCTCGGTCGATGCCCATCAGTGTGACCTTGAACAATTGACTCTGCTGAGAGCCTGTCTTCTTGTAGGACACAGAGGGGCACCTCCATCGTCAGAGGGATGTTAGGGGTGGGGTGGGGGTGTGTCATATGTCGCGCACACACACCTGGACCCACACAGCTTACCTCTGCTCTTCTCCTGACTTGTCTGGGGGTGCCCGGGTCCCACCCGCCCCAGTACTGCCAGCCAAACCAAGGGGGACAGTCCCCACGGAGTCCCCCCCGTTCTGTTCCCTCCCAAGTCTCCATATTGATTGTTACTGAGTGATTGGGCCATGCTGGCTTCAGGGTGTGGGCAGGGTTCCGAAGGATTGATAGGTGGGGGAGCTTTGTCTCAGTCATACCTTCTGTGGCGGTTCCACCAATTGTTCTGTGGGGAAAAGAGAAGGCAATCTGTTGCCTTAAAGGTGACAGCCTAGGGAGCCCCAGGGAGGGGTTTGAGGTTTGCTGTGAGTGGGGATTGGTCTGCCCGCCCACTCCTCACCCTGCATAGCACCCTCGCCACCCGGGCGGGTGCTCTGCTCTGTGCCCGCAGGTCCCCGGTGTAAGTACCGCCACGTTCACAGAGTGATGTGTGTCAACTACCTGGCTGGCTTCTGCCCCGACGGGCCCAGGTGCCGACTGGCCCAGTGAGTATGGCCACCAAGCAGAGTCCACCTCTGCCCAGCACGTGCCCACACCCATGGTGCCAGCTGTCCCCGCCCCAAGAACTCCAGCCTCCCCGGGAACATCGCAGCCTGGGGAGGGCTGTGCCCCCCTCTCCCCCAGAGCTCCTGTGAGCCTTCATTCCCTGGCAAGGGCTCCTTCCAGGTGGGGCAGTGACACACGGAGGCAGCGGTGGCAGCTGGGGGAGTCTGGCAGCCCGTGAACAGGGCCGTGGCCTCTCTCTCTGCCCTCAGCCCCAAGTTGAACCCATTTTTACTCAGTCCCAGCTACATGGAGGTGAGTGAGGGCACCCAGGGTGACTTACTGGGACCTCTTCCTGAGGGGACACAGCTCCTTAGTGTCAGCTGCACTGTTCAGGGGACCCCCTCCCTTCTGCATGGCCTTCTGGGAGCACCCACTGTGGGGTCACTCGGCCCTCGTGTGTCCGTACACCTGTGCTTGCTCCTCTCTGACCCCTCCCAGCCCGGCCTCACCTTCAGGTGAGACTTGACACACTGCCGCTGAGGGGGCAGGTTGTTGGAGAAAGCCCCCACCCACCCACCACCTGCTGGGCCCAGACCAGACCGTCGGTCCTGGTGTCTTAGCCCCTCCTGGGGCCAGAGGACTGAAGCCTTTGGGTCAGAGTCAGCCTGGGTCTGCTTCGGCCCTGCCCTCCAGCCGAGGATATTCTGTGTTGTGTCTGTGTGTGAGTATGTGATCGTTTGGAGTAAAAACTCCCAAAATGTTTGGTGATGTGTGAGGATTTGATGGCCTTCAGACTCCGGTCCTCACCGACGGTTGCCCAGGAAGCCAGGGCCCCTGTCCTCAGTCCCCGCTGCTTCCCTTGGTGCCATCGTGGCACTGAGGCTTTCCCAGATTGGAGGTCCGTGCCATCCACTGCCTCTGGACCACATTAGCTGCTCTCATGTGCTTCTTCCCAGTGCTGGGGCACACTCGGTGTCTCGAGCAAGTGTGTGAGGTGGCAGACCCCCAATTGAGCCCCTCATAATAACTTAAAAACCATCCGAAAGCCAAAAAAAAAAAAAAAAAACCATCCGAAAGCCATGAGCATATTTCATCTGAATAATATCCCTTCAATGAAACTATCATCGCTACATTTCCAGTATTGCCTCGGAGTTACCGGTATGTTGGACTGAAGGAGCCACAAGGGGCTATCGGGCCTGGCCTAGTGTGAACCTCACTTTGCGGTGCACTGGGGAGCCGAGAGACGCCCGAGCCTGGCTGGTTTTGTGACCATTGCTGGATGGGAGTCTGTGTGCGATGCGGTCCAGGCAGGCACAGGCCCCCTGGTCCAGAGTCCTGAATAGGTTTACCATTTGGCTTTCTGCGGGTGCTGAAGACCTGCGCCGAGTCCCAGGGCTAGCTGGTGAATGCTGGGCTGTCATTTTTCCGAGGCCAGGAGTGTGAACGCTGGGGGGCTGCTGTGGAGTTCTCAGGGTGGGTCCCTCTCCAATCCGAGGCCGGCCCACCTAGCACAGGGGTCCGAGGACTGGCTCTGGGCGGAGAAACATCCTCAGCACCTCCAGGGAACTTCCCATCAAACAGACAGGCATCCGGCAATTAAAACAGAAGACAATTGTTCCCCAATCCGGGTCAAGCGTGTCTGCCTGGCAAGCTCAGAGTAATGATGCTTCCACGCCCCCACCCCCATCCCCGTGCACCTGAGGATCTACAGCTGGGGCCGGCAGCGGCCGACGCCCAGTGTGAGAACGGAGAATTTGTTTTTCCTGGTCTGTGTACAGGTTTGTCACATGAGTTTCTCTGCAGGGTGGGAAGTGGTCCCGGACCTCGGCCCCTTCTGCTGCCACGGTGGAACCTCCCTGGGCGCCTTCGAGATCAGAGAGCCTGCTCCCAGGAATGAGGACCCAGGAGAGCCTGCTCCCCGCCTGCCTGGAGCTCTGGCCTCTGCAGCAGGTCCTGTGCTACAGGGTGAGGAAGAGGGCCAGGGCAGGGGGACCCACCCGTTCTCTGGCAAAGCGCTCGGGCCCCCTCCCTGCAGCGGTGAGGAAACTTGCGGAGAGGCTTGGAAGCTCTCTGGTGGGACCGAGGGGAAAACAACGCAGAGTACTTGTTTTAGGGCCCCTGGATGGTGCAAATGGTGGGCCCTCGGCTATTAACCGACAGGTTGGCGGTTTGAACCCACACCCAGAGTTGCTGCGGCAGAAAGGCCTGGCACCCTGCGGCTGTGGCCATCACAGCCAAGGAAGGCCTGCGGAGCTGGGGGCCACTGTGTAGTGAGCGCGTGGGCTGTCGGTAGTAAGTCTTGGCGATGGGTGAGCTCTTACCCTGTCCTGTAGGGTCACTAGCAGTTGGAACTGGCTCGATGGCAGTGAGTCCGGATCCAAGTTATGTGTGCATCCTGTCCTCCAGGCTGGGGGGCAGGGCGGCTCAGAGAGGGAAGCCCGCACTGTGGTTAGAATGCTCTTTGCCATCTTCTAGCTCACAGGTTCCCACACTCAATTGACCTACCACTAGGAAAACAAACAAACAAACAAACAGCACTCCCCTGGGAATTACAAGCTTTTGTCCTAGAGAGCCCTTCATCCGGGATAAAGTGTAGGTATCTGCTTCTGCAGGCCCTCGGATCGCTCCAGCACTGCCCCCTGGGGTGGCACCCACTTTGGGAAACCGGGTCCTGGTTTCCCTGGAAGGAGAGCCATGTTCTCCCATGGGCCTCGGAGGCTGCCATTTTCCTGCACTCTGGTTTCTCTGCAAGAGAATCCTTATTCCACACTGAGCTGACAGAGAGGGGCCCTAAGTTTTCTGACAATGTGATTTTGTTGACCTTTTGAGCGAGGGCCAGCGCCTTGATCTCTGGGATTATTCCTGCCAGACTCGAATCTCAGGGTCTCTCCTGGGGCTGGAGCGTGGCTTCATTCCGCAGCACACAGGCTGGAGTTCCTTGGAGACCCGGCTCTCTGCCGTGGCCCCCAAACAGCGTAGGCTTTTTCTCTGCTTGTGGGCTGCGACTCACACTGGCCCCGCCACAACAGAACGAAACACTGCCCGATCCTGTGCGGCTCTCATAATTGTGATGTTGGAGCCCACTGTCCTGCCACGGGGTCCGTCCATCTCGTCAAGGGCCCGCCTCTTTCCTGCTGCCCCTGTGCTTTACCGAGCACGGTGGCCCTCCCCAGGGGCTGCTCTGCCCACAGCTGGTCCGAAGGACACCTGAGACGCAGGCTCCCCACCTGGCCTCCAAGGGGCGCTGTGGCTGTGCTTGCTTCTTCCCACGAGGGTTGGTTGGTTCTCTTGGCAGTCCGTGGCATTTCCCATCTTCTTCCCGGGGAACATTTTCCCTGGCAATTTCTGTTGTCAGATAAGGTCATGCTGTAATCTCCCCACCTCACCCCCTTCCTTTTTCAGTGTCGAAAAATGGGCCACTATGCCAATTGGTGCCCAGAAGCCCACCTGATGGGGCTCATCCCGAAGCAGCCTCTGGTCTGGGGCGCTGGAAGACCCTTTGGTGACCACGCGGAGCTGCCCTGGGACTGTGTTCCCGCTGGTCTGCCTCAAGCCCGCGGACATCCTGCCCAGGCCGTGAGACATGGGAGAAGCCGGCTACACCTAGACTTCTTTCCGGCTGCCCTGTGAGTGGGCGACCCCTGGATGCGCAGACTCGGGGCCAGTTGGTTGAGCGAAAGTGGTGGGTCAGCAGGATGGACGTGCATATGTGCAGTTATTGGCTTTGAGGCTGCTTGTTAACGCTGGGCCCCGGGCTGCTCTGTACTGGACATTAAATCTGATGGTTTTCTTGTGCATGACAGCTGCTTCCCCGCAGGGGCGTTTCATTAAGTGTGTACTCTGGGCCGGCATGCGTGCGTGTGTGTGTTCAGGTGGGTTCCGCTGACCCATCGTGACCCATGCACAACAGAACCAGGCTGGGTCCTGCGTCATGCTCACAATGGTTCTGACGCTTGAACCCACTGTGGCCAGGGAGGTGGATGGCACGAAAAGGTCACTCTGGGGAGCTAGGAAACCCCTGCAGGGTCACCTGATGTGTCAGGATCTCTGCCTGCTGGGAAGCAGAAGTCCACGGGGAAGGGGCTTCACGGAGCTTCTGGGGCGACGAAGGGCAACGGGAAGGCCGGAAGTGGACTCGCCCTGCGGACGCGGAAGGTGGCGGCGAGGAAGGCGGTCTGAAGGAATGCTGGCCAGGAGCCAGGTTGTTCCCTCTATGCAACACGCAGTCCCCGCGGGGATGTCGGCGGACTGAGGATGAGGTGCAGAGGCTGCGAGCATGGGGGCCTGGATCAGGCGATCCGGGGCCACACCTGCTCGGTTCACGGTCCCAGCTGTGGGTAGAGTCCGGGCCTTGCCACGTCCCACCTGGGGCGGGACTGTGATGGCCGCTCTGCGGTCAGAGGACACGCCCATCTCCACGGGCGGGCAGGGCTAGGGCCTGCTCCAGAGGGGCTGAGGGAGCTTGGACGGAGGGAGGGGGCTGCGAGCGCAGCAGTGTTTTCAATAGCGAGGCGTTGGGGAGTGCACGCAGGGGCCCTCACCCAGGAGACACAGCACCTGGCTGGCTGCTTACCTGGGGGCGCCCCTTGCTGCCCCGCGGGAGCAGCGGTTCCCAATGGCCCGTCCTGTTCCGGTGTCTGTCTCCCTGGGCTCTGTGGCCGGGCGGGGCATGGCTCCCGCCTCCCACCGTCTCCCCATTCGGCTGGCATCCAGTTTGGCCCGGGGCCACGTGCTCTGGGCTGTCCGGGTATCCTTACACCAGGCTGGTTTCGAACTGCAGCCCTGAGGTCTAGTCCTGTATTGCTTGTGGTGTGTGAACTGGCACACAACCATCACCAACATCTCCACGACTGCCCTGTGGGTTCCGGAGACTGATAACTCCTTCCCGGGGTAGGAAGCCTCTTCTCTCCCAATGGGGAGCTGGTGGTTCGGAACTGCTGACCATAGGTCAGCAGCCCAAGGTACAATCAACTACTTCACCCCCAGGTCTCCTGTTGAGCACTGAGGTCTTTGTGGCTGTTGCCCAGGTCCTTGGGCATTGGAGGGTTCACAAGGCTCCTAAAAGCCACCTACGCGGTCATTGTGGCCAAGTGCCTAAGGGAAAGAAAGTGGCTGATGGCCCTGCCCTGTCCTACTGCTGGCCTTGGGCCCAGGCACCAAGCTCTCCCTGGCCCCGGTTCCGGGGTGTGCTTCCCTGTGCTCGAGCCTTAGAACCAAACCAACCGGACTCACTGCCATTGGGTCGATGCCAACTCACAGGGACTCTGTGGGGCAGGGCAGAACTGGCCCGCGGGTTTCTGAGAATCGTTCTGTATGGGAGCAGGAAGCCTCATCTTTCTGCCAAGGAGCTGCTGCTGGTGGCTTCGAATGGCTGACCCTGTGGCTAGTAGTCTAAATCGTAACCACTAGGTCACCAGGGCTCTTGTAGAAGCTGAAAGGGGGTGGGGGTGGCACTGAGAAGACGTACTGTCCCCTCAGCCCTTCTCTGGGCAGGGCAGGATGAGTGCTGGGGTGTGTGTGCTAGGTGATTTGGGGCAACCGTGAGCACGTTTCCTCTCCCGTTGTGGAGCAGCAATGCCAACCTTCTTCCTTGCCCTGCTGCCCCTGGTGAGGCTAGTGTCCTGTAGATTTGAGGTGGGGGCAGGGCTGGCACTCCCCGAGTTAAAAATCAGAGTTTAGCTTTGGTTTAGTCCACTTGGTGTCTGCGTCAACGACTGGGCTCTGCCGCGGCAGTGTGGATGCAGCTGGGGTTAACACCTCCGCAGAAAGCAAGGAGGCCAGTGTTCCAATCAAGCTTTATTTATAAAGGCAGGCAGTGGGCCGGGTTTGTCCTGCAAGCTGAAGGGGCCTGGGGTTACAGAGGACACAATGGAGAGGTTCATTCTGCAATCCCCTCCCGCCCTAAGAGGGAGCCCACCCAAGTTTCTCTTACAGGACGTTTACAGGAGGTGGGCACAAAGTCCACTAAGGGGAGAGAGACCCACGTCCTTAGTTGGAGTAAACAAACGCAGTAGTCCCTCCTTCAACCGAGACCGCCCCCTGCTGGAGGGACGTGCTCCGGAATGCCCTTTCCTTAGATCCGGGAATCTGCAGCCTATTCATTGCTCCCACTGGGGATGATTAGGGAGATGGGAACAAATGAATAAAGCAGAAAGCGGAGGGAAACATAAAGGGATGCTAATTCACTGCCACTGAGTCGAAGCCGACTCACAACGACCCTATAGGACAGGATAGAACTGCCCCTGTGGGTTTCGGAGACTAACTCTTTACGTGAGTAGAAAGCCCTGTCTTTCTCCCGAAAGGATGTCAGGCAGGTGTAAATAAATCTTGGCCACCTTTTTTTGGTTTGTTTTCAGGGTGGATAAAACTGAGTCACAACAAAAGGCTGGCCTGCTGGATTCTGGCTGTCACAGGCCAAGGTGGGACTACAGAGCCCAGCCCCTGTGCTGGGGAAAGGAGGGGGTGGGGGTGGAGCATGTGGAGAGTTCTCCATCCATCCTGACTTGAGTCAGTTAGTGAAGCATCTCTTGGCAAGTAGTCAGTTGACTTGCTACCTCCAGGGACCAACTGGAAATAAGGAAATTAGAAGGCACTGCATATTATCACGGGGACAAGAGATGCGCATCTACAAGGGTTTCTAAGTATCTCAAGGGCACTCTTGTGAGACGCGCTAGGACTGGGAGCCTCACAAGCGTCCAGGAAGAGATGGTTAAATGTTGGTCTGTTATACCAGTGGTATACCAGTGGTACACAAGGTGGTGCCTGTTCTGCTCAGAGGGTCATTCCCTTTCAATCCCCTGGAGTCCCCCTCAACTGTCCCTTCCCCACTCTGTCCTCATGCTTTTGTGTGTGCCGGCGAGACCTGGCTGGGGACCCGAGAAAGGCTGAGCATTCCCATGGAGGAGGCTGGATAGCCGAGAGATTCCTCTCTTAGAACATATGCAGTTCAGTGTCTAGGGAGCCCTGGTGCTGTGGTGGGGCAGAAGCTTTGAGGTTGGCAGTTTGAGCCCAGCGGCTGCTCTGAGGAGAAAAAGATGAGGTTGTTAGCTCATGTAAAAAGCTTCCATTTCAGAAAGGCCAGCAACGGTTCTGCTCAGTCCTGTGGGGTCACGATGACCTGGGACTGACTCGATGGCCCTGGCCTTTTAGGATTAGACCACATGACTTTCTCCTAATGACCGCTCCGCCACTTCACCAGCAAGCCAAAGAAACAGCCCCACAGAAACCCGGTCTGCCCACATGAACGTAACTCCCTACAGAATGGTTTCAAATTCCAGGCACTTTATTCCTTGCTGCTTTTCCCGGTCCCAGGACAATTTCACACTGTCTTCCACCGTCTCCACCGGGCTCCGGGTGTTGCGGCAGCGGTCCCGCTCAGCACTACCTACGCCAGCGCTGCTGCTCTTGGGAGACAGAGAGAGAGGAGAGGTCAGGGTCCTGGAGGCTTCCAGCTCTTCCCTCCACACATCGGCTGGCTCGGCTTTTGTCCCTTTGGAAATAAGAGTCTGGGGCACTGTGAGAAAGGAGCCCTGGGGGCACTGACGGGCCAGCGTCGGGTTGCTAACCGCAAGGTTGGCGTTTCAAACCCACCAGCTGCCCCAAAGGAGAAAGGTGAGGCTGGCCGCTCCCCCAAAGACTGAACAGTTGAGGAAACCCTCTATGGGGCTCCTGGGAGTCAGAATTGCCTTGGTGGCAGCTCTACCTTATCCTATAGCAGTGGTTCTCAACCTTCCTGATGCCGTGACCCTTTCATACAGTTCCTCATGTGGTGACCCCGTGTGGGCGTGTCTGCATGTGGGCAGACCTGCCTGGAGACGGATAGAGGAGTGGTGGCTCAGTTCCTGAGACCATCGGAAATATGGTCTTAGGTGACTCCTGTGAACGGGTCGTTTGACCGACCCCCAAAGGGGTCGCGACCCCCAGGTTGAGAACCGCTGTCCTATAGGGTCACTATGAGTCACAAATGCCGCTGTGGCGATGGACTTGGCTAAGAAAGCCCTTTGGTAATACTGTATTTAAAACATTTAAACCAGCGGGACTGTGGGAACCTTCACAGAGAAACCGAATCCGGGTATTTTCCTGGTGATAAGTCTTGGAGCAAGCTGAAGATTCATCACCAAAAGGGTTTTGTTTTTCAACAGCAAAAGTAGATTCAGCTTAGACCCCTGGGTGTAAGGCAGGGGTCTACAGCTCCTCCTGAGTGGTGGAGGGCAGGGTTCAAAGGCAGGAATGAAGCAGGTATGGAGGGGACAAACCCTGACCTGCCAGTAGGCAGAGAGTTTTCAAGCTGGAACCCACCCCAGCCAGATCGCCAGGGACAATGGAGGCATGTCGCAGACCCAAGTCAAGTCTTACACTGGCTGGTATAACCAGAACCGACAATAAAGAACCCGGGCCCAGAGCCCCTGGCCACAGCCGGCCCATAGGGGTGCCCAGCTTACTGAGGTGCCGGAGGCTCCAGCTGCACCAGAGGACAAGGGAGCCCGAGAAGAGCACGGTGATGCCGGCCATGCTGCTGCGCTGCACGGTGCCGCTGCACCGCGTCCACCCTGCGGGAGAGACAAGTCCATGCCCGAGACCCAGGCCACTGGGAGATGGGCTGCCAGCCACAGCCTGCAGGTCCTTCTGGTGTGTCATGTAAGGAGCTGGGGCAGACACACACACACATACACACACACTCTCGAGGTCCTTCCAGTGTGTCATGTAAGGAGCTGGGGCAGACACACACACGGAGACGGGACTGCCAGCCACAGCCTCCAGGCCCTTCTGGTGTGTCATGTAAGGAGCTGAGGCAGACACACACACACACACACACACACACACACTCTCTCTCTCTCTCTCATCCAGCCACTGCAGCGGGCCCTGGGTCACGGCGAGTTGGAAGTGCCTGGAGCTTTTCTTGCCTGCGGCCACTGCAGGGGTCCCGGTGCTCACCGTGTCACTTAAAATGCCTGAGACTCTCCGGTTAGGGGGACAGAGGGGCTCGGGCTCCAGTGTCCCCCGGGGGTTTAAATGGGTGCTCCTAATGCTGGAGCTGGCCGAGGTGGCAGCGCCAGTGGTGGACTGCCCTGTTCACACCCATGCTGCCCAAGGGCTGAGCATAGACACAGGGGGCTTCGGAGAGTTCGAGAGGCCCATTGTCTTCTTCTTCCATTTGCCCACCCACTTTTGGGAGCATCTGTTTTCAAAGGCTAGATCCAGAAGACCACAACTGGGCACAGTTGGGATGACTAGCCGGTTCTGAGCGGAGCGGTGGGGGGTGGGGATAGCTGGGCAGGAAGAGCGGCACAGCTGGCCAATGTGGGATTTAGGGTGTGGTGGCTTTGGAGTGAGGCAGGTCAACATCGTGGGCCAGGGAGAGGGAGACAGGTGGGGGTCAGGGTTGGGGGGCGGGGATGAGCCATAAGACAGCTGTCTCAGGAACAGTAGCTGCTATTCTATCACTCCTGGTACGTCCTAGGATGCCAGCCGAGAAGCAGACAAGCAGAAGACGAGGTGGGCCCCACAGCTTCCAGTCTCAGGAGCACGAGAAACACAACAGCCAACGCGCCAGCCTCACCTTTCTGCAGGGCTCCCAAGAGCCTCAGGAGGGAGTCGGGGGCTGACGGCCAGGTCGGGGGTCCCCAGATGCTTGGGTCAATCGGACGGCTTTCCAACAACGGAACTAGGATTCCAAACAGAAGTCACTGTATCAGCACACCCCTGTCCCCAACGCCCAGGGCTAACGGTCCCCAGGCTTTGGGGAGAGGAGGGCGCAGAAGTTTTGCTCTGTATTGACTCATCCCCAGTCCCTCAAAGGTCTGGGAAAGCTGAGGGAGCCCCTGGGAAGCAAGAACGAGACACATTTGAATGCTACCAGTCAACAGGACCCATGCTAAGGACTTGTTACCTGCTAGACGTGTTAGCCAGAAGCAGACTGCCGACTGCTACAGTATCAACCACTGCTGCAGTATCAGACGATGGTGCCGGGGAAGGACATGCAACAGACCCCAGACAGGCCTGCTAGGAGAATGACCGAATCTGTCTTGGCAAGATCATGGCCAGGGGACGCTCACTAGGAGAGAAGGTGGCGGGGCTTCGTCTCCCCCGTCTGGGCCGGGTTCGTCAGGAGGGACCGTTCTCTGGAAGGAGGTCCTGCCTGACACAATGGAGGGTCAGCAGCAATAGCAGCTGCAAACAGAAACCACCGGGAGGATGGCGCAGAAGTGGGAGTGTCTCCTTCTGCCCTGAGGGGGACCCCTGAGTCCCAACATTGCGACGGTTCATCACGGGTCTGGAGGTTGATCCTGACTCACAGCAACCTCAAAGGACTGGGTAGAACTGCCCCCTCCACTCCCACCCCCGGTGTATGTGTTGTTTTGGGAGGGGCGTGCATGTGGACTGGCTGAAGGTTTGTTCACAAAGCAGAGCATCTGTTTTGTCAATAGTTCTGCACGTTTCGTTACGCCTCATTCCCTGCAGGGCCCTCAATGCGCGGTTATGGACCCTGCTTCCTCCTGCACTTCCGGTTTCTAGCCCCCTCCTGCCCGGCTCTGTCCTTGGACCGGTGTTGCCTGGCTGATTATGCTGATGGGGGTGAGTGAGCACAGTGCCAGACCTGCAGGTGTCGACGCAGGCCCCGCGGGTCTCTGGGCCGTCATGGCGATGGGAGCAGGCGGCTGGCTGGTCTTTCTCCTGTGCAGGTGTTCGGTGGGCTCCCTACACGCCCAGCCCCCCATCACTAGCAGGCCCCTCTCCCAGGAGCCTTGGTGGGGTCGTGGGTTCCGAGTTGGGCTGCTAACCCCATGGCCAGCAGTTCAAACCCACCAGCCAATCCGAGGGAGAAAGACGAGGCTTTTCCTCTCCCAAGATTGGCGGTCTGGGAAACCCACAGGGCAGCCTGCTCTTCCTATAGGGTTGCCGGGTCGGAATCGCCTCGATGGCAGGGCGTGGAGAATCTTACTTTTTTTCCAAGAAAGGATTGGGTAAGTGCTGGACTGCCACCTGTGAGGTAGCAAGCTGGAAATACGAGTCCTGGTGGCATGGTTGGTGACCACCTGGGCTGCTAGCACAAGACCGGCCGTCCGGTCCCACAGGCATGCCCTCGGGGCCCTGGTGCTGCAGTGGAATGCGAGTCGGGCAGGTAACCACAAGTTAGGAGTCAGAAACCACCAGCAGCTCCACGTGACAATGATGAAGCTACGTGTACCTTACTGGCTACACCAGGGGTCCTCAAACTAGGCCCGCGGGCCACATGCGGCCCGCTGGGTGTTTTTGGCCCATTTGCTTTTTTACTTCAAAATAAGATATGTGCAGTGTGCATAGGAATTTGCTCATAGTTTTTTTTAAAAACTATAGTCCGGCCCTCCAACGGGTCTGAGGGATAGTGAACTGGCCCCTGGTTTGAAAAGTTTGAGGACCCCTGGCGCTACACCAAGCAGACGTGGAGGATGGGTTTGGCAGGCAGGTGGGTGTTGCGGACACTACCCACGTGACCGCCAGGGAGTCCCACGACCAGAGAGCCACGCGGCTTCTGAGACATGCGCTGTGAGTGTGTGGAACTCCTGTTTCTTCTCGGGAAGAGTGTGCAGGAGCCAACAGGGAAGGGCAGTCACGGGAACACGACGGGGACCTGCCTTCTCGACAGGGACGGCTCCCCAGCCCGCCGCTTCTTATCAGCCGAGTCTGTTGATTTCCCACCACTGTCACTGGCTAGAACCGCCCCTGTGGGTTCCTGAATGCTAACTCTTACGGGAGTAGAAAGCCTCATCTTTCGCCAACAGAGCGGCTGTACCGCCAAGGCTCCTAGGGGAGTGGCTGGTGGGTTTGAATGTCCAGTCTTGTGACCAACAGCCCAATGAGTAGCCAACAGACCACCAGGACTCCGGTTTCCGGCTATCTGGCCAAACACCGCAGCAGACCCTGAGCTGGCATCACCTTGGCAGCCTAAGGTCTGCCGCAGGAGGGTGCTACAGGTTTCAGACAGGGCCTTGCCTGCTGCCTAGACCCCAGTTCCTGGGTAATCCCCGCTCCCGGAACTGCTGATGGTGACAGGCCTCTGCTAGCTCATCTCCCACCGTCCTGCACCGGCCGGCGGGAAGGCCTTCCCTTTCAGGCCCAGCCGAGATGGTTAACCTCCATGCTCTGCACACCTCAGCCTCCCAGGGCCTGTGCCTGGTCTACTGTGTTCTGTCCGTGCCCAGGCCTAGGCCTTGACTTACCTCTGGGCCTTTGCCTGCAGGGGCCTCACAGGCCGTTTCTCTGAAATACAACCCCTTGGTCTACACCTCCGGAAAACTGGGGCCCAGCCTGGCTCACTGCATGCACCTGCTCATGTCCAATCCGAGTGTTTGGAGCCCCTGGCCCAGCCTTTGCCCCAGCTCACCGCTGGAGACTTATTATGGGGTGTGTTTAAACAGAACGCTGTCACGTCAATTCCAACACGGGGCCCTGTCGGGCAGGGTCCCACAGGGTTTACAAGGCTGGAAAGCTTGACAGGAGCAGCGCCACCCCCTGCCATCCATCAAGTCCACTCTGGCTCAGTGACCCTGGAGGACAGAGTGGAACTGCTCCTTTGGGTTTCCAAGACGCCGAGTCTTTCTGGGAGCAGACAGCCTCAGCTTTCTCCCCAGGAGCTACTTGACTGGCAGGCCATATGCTTAATCCCTGGCACCACCACGGCTCCCTGTGTGTGGTTAGCCGTGCGGAGACCTCACTACCACCCGGGCTTCAAGCGATGCTGTGTTTCCTGCGATGGGGTCTGATGAGAGCCGGGTGAGCAGTGTCTACCTGTTTCCCAGGTGCAAACCTCTTCTGAGCTCCTGTAGGTCTCCCTAGGAGCCCTGATGGTATGGTGGGTCAGCAGTTCGACACCACCCTCCACTGCGCAGGAGAAAGACAAAGCCTTCTACTCCAGGAGAAAGTTAGGCTCAGAAACCCCTAGGGGCAGAACTACCCTGTCCTATAGGGTCTCCGAGTCAGAACTGCCTCGATGGTGGTGAGATTTTGTTTTGGGGGAGGCTTCCTGCCCAAACGAGTCTGAAAACACCAAAGAACATTAGCCTCTTCTGCGATGTGGTGAGATCTAGAAGCGCCAAGTAAGCAGTGTTGGTGCCAGGACAGTCAGCACTGCCCGGCAACAACATAGGTTCTAGCTCGATTCTGAGCCACCTTATCATGGGAGGAAAGCCGGGACACCCCCCTCCCCTCCTGCCCCCTAAACCTCACCCGTTATACTAGACCTCACAGGCCCAAGGGCGACGGCAGCCCGCACGCACAGGTGCGGCTAGAAACCGTACGAGAATCCAGAGGGCCCTGTCCAGGGAGGCCAACCACCTTCACACAGCTCAGCAGGAGCGCCCAACAAGACCGGGAAATCCCTCAGTGACCGGCTGTCCATCCCCACGGCAGGAGGAATAGAAGCCTCTCCCTTCTCCAGAGGCAGGTGGGGGTCTCAAATTGCCGAAAGGGACAACTCACACCACCACCAAGGCTCCTTGGAAGAAAAGGAGGTTCCTGGAAATGATGGTCAGGAACTTCCTGGTTCCTGACGGGGAGCCCCCTCCGCGACTTCCGAGGAGCACCCGAGACAGCCTAGAGAAGCCGGAGCCCCGTCACGCAGGCTTCTCTCCAAGGGCTCCTCCTCACTGCCTCGCTCATGTCTCGGGCCCCACTGCGGACTCCGCCCAGTTGCTTGGACACCCTATTCTGGGGCCCTCAACTGTAGCCTGAGGAGCCCTGGTGGCGGAGTAGTTACGAGTTGGGCTGCTAACCGCAAGGTCACCAGTTAGAAACCACCCTCCACTCCAAGTGCGAACAGTCTTGGAAATTCACTGGGTCAGGGACCCTGCCCCACAGGGTCGCTACGAGTCAGCAGGACTCCAGGGCCGAGACTGAGAAGCTCTACCCTGTCCACGCCCCTCCTCCCGGGCCAGCTGCCCTTGTCTTGCTATACCCACATCCTCAGTGTGGCCAGCACCCACTGGACTTCCTATCCAGTATAGCCCTGACGGAACTCCATGCAAGGCACTTGTTCTCCTTGTGTGGATCTATGCCCCGAGAGTCTGTACGGCCTGAATATCCATCTAATGTCTACCAACCACGTCTCTTTCCACTGTGGATACTCCCTGCTCACCCCCGACTGCTGGAAAGGGAGAGCAGGAAACCACGGCTTGTATCTCTGGGGCACAAGGCCAGGCCTTCAGAACAACAGCCTATCCAGGGCCCAGATCCCCTCGGGGAGGAGCAGTTAAACAAGGGTGGGCAGCAGTGCCAAAGGCATTGGGTGCTCTGGACTCATCCCAAAGGCACAGGGTGCTCTGGATGGGCAGACTGGCCCTCTGGCATGAGCTGCTTACCTTGGGAGTGCCCTTCTCTCGTGGGAATGCGGAGCCAAGGCTTCTGGGCCGCCACTTTCCAATACTGGGGCTTCTCTGGCAATACCCCGAGTCCCAGGTAGCCGGGGTAGAGCTCGGGAAACCACTCCAGCCCCACGGAGCTGGGAGCTGTCTTGGTGGCAGTGGCAGCAGGATTGGGGAAGGGAGCAGGGCGCATGTGATGCCAGGCTGCACTGTGAGGCTGCTGGTGTCCAGCGGGTATTGCTTGGTGTCCAGTGGGGACTGCTTGGGCCTGGCAGGTGGCTCTGGGTCCCCCTGAGGGCAGTGCTTTGCTCAGCGTGAATGGCGGTGCACCGGCTCTCTCTCCTTGGAGACAGGTGCCAACCAGCGAGGCCAGACTCGGGTTCCTTGACGGTGACACGGCAAGGGTCCCGGTCCGAGTTGCTCCCCTCACGGTGGACAGGCTGAAAGAGGGGCCCGAGGCTTGCGGCTGCTTCTCTGTGGCTGAACTGCCGGCCCTGGGACCCCTGGAGCCACTGCTCCGGAGAGACCACGCCCTCACTTCCCTCGGGGATGGGCAGCTCTCGGCCTGGGCTCTGCACCCATGGGCCTCCAGCCCAAGGACAAGTCCTTCCTCCTTCCTGCCGCTCACAGCCACGACCTCCTCACTTCCCTCCGCTCGGACTCTACCTCCTGGGTGGACGCCGAGGCCGGCCAGGAGTGGGCCTGTGTTCTTCCCCTGAGCTGTAGGCCTTCTTCCATCACTGGGGATTTCCGAAGGGCCATGTAGGGGCTCGGGGACTCTAACCCCAGGGCTGAGGTTTGGGGCTGAGCTCTGATCACCATGAGCGACGACGTTTGATGGTTTGAATGGGAACTCCTGACTTGGGAGATAAGCTTTGTCTGACTTGAGATGAGCAGGGGGGGCCTGCACACCCCCTGGGAAGCCTGTAAAGAATGTTCTCCCCCCATCTGGGGAGGAGGCTTTCCCGGGACTAACCGGAAGTGGTGCACGCGTTTCTGAAGGAAGCTGTCTGCCGTCCCCTGATTCAGGCCCACAGCCTGCAAGTTCTTTTTGGGAAGACGTGATCCCCATTGCACACACGTGTGCCTTGGTTTCACTCTGGAGAGGACTGCTTGGTGTGATGCTGTTTGGTATTTTGGGGGCATGGAGACCCAGGCTCTTGATGTGTTTATCTGCTCCTTTCTGACTGGTCTTTTCTGCAGCTCTTGGTGGGAGGGTCTTCATGACCCCTCCTGGTCCCTTTCTTATCAGGGGACTCATTCTTCCCTGGTCCTCTCTGTCCCAGCGGGTGTCCTCCGTGTTCCTGGTGAGCTTGGCAGGCCCTTTCTTTCTGCTGGCCTGCGAGAGCCTGTCTCCCTTGAACCAACAGACCTGCGGGGCGGCAGGTGTGGGCAGCCCTCGCATCTTGCAGTGGGGCAGATGGGATTTCAGCCGCTTAAATGGCTTCTGACAGTGGGGACACAGCTCCATCGTGGGCGGGGTGCTGCTCATCCTCCTCCTAGAAAAGACAAGCGTGAGGTCAGCAGGAACACGGACTCTGGGCCACGACGGTCTTTGGTGCCCGCCAGGCCACAGCAGGGCAGCATTCGTGCCTACCTGATACACTCCCTCCCTCGGGGCAGTAACGTAGCGAAGTCCCCTCGTTTCTTCACCGGAGCAGGAAACGGAGGATGGGGGTTGGATTTGGAAGACAGACATTCCCGGGCCATTATGTGGTCTGCATGTCTCACACCTTAAAAGTTTTCTGAGGGCTGAAAGGTGACAATGGGAGTTTTCGAGCACGGCAGCTCGCTCCTTACGGGATTTTTTTTCGTCTGTCAGGTTGTGTGGAGAGGTGCTCTCCCACGAAGGAATATGTGCAGAGGCAGCGAGTGCCTCAGAACTGTGGCTGGGCATCACGTGTTTGGATCTATATCGTCTGCGGGAACATGTGTCCCGATGGACTCTGTGGTGGGGTAGGTGGGATGAGGCACCACTATAGCCACATCGGAACACTGTCCCTTCCCAATGACACACCAAACTCCATGACGCATAGCGGCCCCACCGGGTGGGGAAGAACTGCCCCCGTGAGTTTCTGAGACTGTAACTCTACGAGAGTAGAAAGCCTCGGCTTTCTCCCGAGGAGCAGCTCGCGGTTTTGAACTGCTGACCTTGCAGTGAGCAGCCCCACTCGTAACTGCTTATGCCACGATGACACACACACGGGAGGCAGGAAAATACCGAGAAGCCCAGAGACAAAAGTTTCACACAGTCACTCTTCCAGAAGACACCATCTCATGCAATAACCTCTGAACCCAGCAACCTGTCACCTGTCAGAAGATGTGGCGTGACTGGTCCCTGCCCTGAAGGCCTCCCGAGAGTCTCCTGAGGTGGAAACGACGTACGTGATATTTACACGTACCACAGGTTACAGGTTAGAAAGGAGATGTCCAGGTCAAAGGACAGCAGGCTAATTAATAAATCAAGAGTCAGGAAAAGATGTTCACAGACTAGCCAGGATAAAATGCTCACCATTGAAAAAATCATAGTAGTAAAAGTTTATAGCAAGTCAACTTTAGACGTGCTGTCAGGAGACCAGTCCCTAGAGAAGGGCATCATGCATGGTGAGGTGGAGGGGCAGCGCACACAAAAAATGAAGGCCCTCGGTGAGATGGACACACAGAGGCTGCAACAATTGTGAGGATGATGCAGGACCTGGAGGGAGCGTCCCTGTTGCGCACAGGGAGGCGGGGAGTCAGGACCAATTAGCTGACTTCTAACGATATCCTAGAGACAATCGTGAAAATCCTTAACCACGCACATGCACACGGACCCGAACACAGCTTTTAAGGACAGGATGGCGAGGAACAAAAAGCTAGGGCCAGGACTTGAGGCTGTGGATTCAGAGCCGTGCTTTTCTAACTGGGGACACAGAGGAGACATCGGGGTCCATGAAAAGATTAGAACTGCCATTTAGAGTTACTGTTTTAAAAACGAGACAGGAAGCTCTATCTGCTTGACTTCAGCACACCCGTACTGCAGTACACAGCCACACCAGGGGGCTTTCAGAAGCTGATGGGAACATGCCAGTATCTTTTCATCCCACAGGCTTTTTGAAAGCCCCTGTATGTACCCCCACACCAAACTGTCACCAAGTCCATTCCGACTCATCTCGAGTATGTAGGATGGAGCAGAACTGCCCCCATGTGGTTTCTAAGGCTGTCGATCTTTACGGGAGCAGAATGCCACACTTTTCTCCCATGAAGTGGCGGGCGTCCTTGCAGTCAAACACTTCACCACTGTGCCACAGTGGTTCCTGTTTCTCATACACAGGACCTAAGACATATGCACAGTGTACCAACAAGGAGCCCTGGCGACTTGGGAGTTAAGTGATGGCTTGCTGATTGGTCCATCCATCAGTCACCCCGAGGGAAAAAGACTGCAGCCGCCTGCCACTGTCAATATTACGGTCCTGGAAACCATGTGGGGCTGTTCTATTCTGCTGCTGTGTTTGGATTTCTGGAGTGTACAAATAACCCACCCCTTCAGAGGGCATGGTGTGTTTGGGCTTCCATGGTGCCAGAAGGCTTGGTGTCTGGGTTTCTAGGGCACACGGAGAAGTAAACACATCCACAGGGTCCCGTTTCTAAAGGGTAGTCTGGGGAAGCACGTGGCTTACAGACAACATTGTTCCATTTTTATCTTTGTGGGATCCACTCAACTCGTGATTTGTACCTCTTGCCTCTTAAGGCAGGATCACAAGATGTTTAATCCCAAAGCTGAGCAGCAAGTTCATCCCTGGTTCGCATTTCATCAGCTTCCTCTAAGTCCCCGAGGGCAGGCATCGCTGTTGTCTTTAGCTCGGCTGTATTCTGAAATCCTAGCACTGGGCCCGGTGTACTGTCTTTGTGGAATGAATTCTTTCTCTAGACATAAAGACACAAATGCACCGTGAGTGTAAATGTCTTCCCACTACTACATAGCTAAAAAAAAAAAAAAAAAAATCAAGACCATGAAACTAGGAATGAAGTAAGTAAATAGACACAATCTCAGTTAAACTGTTTCTCATCTCAACTAACCCATTTTAGTCTCCAGGCAGTCAGGCAAAAACAGATCTGTATTCCCTGCCAATTGATCTGGCAGTATCTGTGCTTACTTTTTGTTGTTGTTGCAGGGAACCCATTTAATAGTGAGATGGAAGAAGGTATGCCTCATGCCTACAAAAAGACACCCCCCCCGACCCTGGCCCATGAGCTTTGGATTAACAAGACCCTTTTGAGTTTGGTAGCACCCTTTTCCCTTTACAGGACCCCATACCACACTTAGACTCACTAGAAAGATTTCGTAACAGTGGTAACACATGCCCAACTGCTTCCTTACCCCGCCTCCTCTAAGCCACTACGGCCATTGAATGGATCCCAACTCATGACGCCTATACTACACAGGATTTCCAAGGCTGTCAATCTTTACCAGAGCCGAGAGCCCTAGCTTTCTCCCATGGGGCGGCTGGTGGGATTGAACCGCAGACCTTGCAGTTAGCAGCCTAGCTTTCAGTGCCCCCACCAGGGCTCCCCCGAGGAGGCTAAATGTGGCAGCAGTTTCCCTGGACTCCCGTACTTCACGATCAGCTTCCTGGTGGCCGAAGGAAACCGCATTTCAATGTCAGCCTGTGTAAGACGATTGGACGAGGACGGACAGAGCTTGCGCACGCACACAGTACATGCAGCAGACGTAGCGAGGCACGGAGTCAAATACACGTGACCCGCGCCGTCTGCAGGCACTTTCCCGAGATGGCCTGGAGAGCAAGGTTCTGACCTGGCCGGACACAGGTCCAGCTTCTACTGAGCTCGGCCGCCGCCTTCCACGACCTTGGCCAGGTTCCACCCACTGCCTTACTTTCCCTGAAAGCTGTCCCGCTGGCTCCTGCAGGGCGGACGGAGACCGTCGGGGCTCAGCCCAGGCCCCGGGACAGTCTCCCGCAGGCCTCTTGAGACTCACGCCACAGCGGTGGCCTCAAATCAACAAGTGATGCTCCAGGCAGTGCGCGAGATCAGACGCTCTGGGAAGTCACGCGAGCCCCTTCCCAACTCCCGGTCCCAGGACCTTCAGGAGGCTGTCTCTACAACTGCCTGACCGCTCTCGGCTCCATTTTTTTGAAAGTTAACTCACAAATCCTACTTCAGATATTTGTACCAGAGGACTACGACGAGATGTAATTTCATTTAAACCCGGCTTGACTTTCCTACGGCTCACTTCAGCTACGAACAGGCGAAAGCTCGGGTCAGCCCTCATGAGGCCCACTGTCCCAGAAGTCCCCGGTCGCTCTGAGCCCGCCTCTTCCGGTGGGCGTGGTTACCGGTCGGCGCGGCCGGGCCCTCTCCACTGCGCAACCGCGAGAGGGCGGGACCACGGCGGCGGCGACATGGGGGGGCGCGGAGGAGACGCCGGAAGTAGCGGTGGTACGGGTCCGACGGAGGGGTACTCACCACCGGCTGGGTCCACCCGAGCGGCGGCCAGGGCCAAGGCCCGAGGGGGTGGGCGTGGCGGCCGCCGAAGCGCCACATCCTCGGTTCCGTCTTCTCGCGGAGCGGCGCCGGGGCGGCGCTCCCCTCCACCAGCTGCCATGAGCGAGCGCCTCCGCCCCAGGTGGGTGAGAAGGGACCCTCTTCCTCTCTAGTCCCTTGCCGGGAGATCTGGGGGGACCGAGCCGCGGGGGCGCGCGAAGCGGGGGTCCGAGCGGGCGGGGGCCCTGCCGAGGTCCATCTGGGGCGCCCTGCAGTCGGGTGGAGGAGGGGAGAGCGCGATGCCTGGTCGTTGGTAGCTGGACCCGGGGGCCGGCTGGAGGAGTGACTCTCCACGGTCCTGAGCGCTCTCATCAGGTTGTCCCCCTCGCCTTTCCCCCTCAGGACGGGGTCTGGACGGTCCTGGGAGAGAGTGAGTGGCACTCAGGATTCCCTGCCCTATATTTAGGAGCGTGGGGGGATGGGCGGCCTCTTGGGGAAGGAGCCCTTTTGGGCGCCCGGGAGGGGCTGGGGCTGGGACCTGGCGTCTCCCCGGGGTCAGAAAGCGGTCTGGGGCTTAACCCAGCAGCCCCAGGATGAGGTGAACTCCAAAAACTTGTGCCTGGAAGCACTGCGCCCAGGAGGGCTGCTGACCAGAGTGGGTCGTGCAGCATGAAGAACGGGCGGAATTCTAAACTGTTTGGGCTCGGAGCCGTTTGGCTCAGGAGCGGGAGGTCGGATGGTAGCCGGGATTCACCACCCTTCCACGGAGCGTGGACACCTGACACCGACAGGTTTATCGTTGACTGGGGGGCTGGGTAGGGGGCCCCCCGAGGTCAGCTGGCATGTCTTCTTTTCTCCCGCCCGCTGTTTTCCTCGGTAAGAAAGTGGGCGTGTGAAAGTTGACATTGGGGACCCCAGTTAGAAGAGGATCTATTTAAAATGAGAAAACCCCCTTGTGGAATTGGAAGTGAAAGCCTGTTTATCCGAAAGCCCAGCCCCTGTATTACCCTGATAAACTGACCATCTCCCCATGCACACCGCCCTTTCTTTTCTTCCGTAATAATGAGGCTCAGTGCGGCACCCTGGTCAGTAGTTTGAAACTACCAGCCTCATAGCGTGCGAGAGAGGCGGCTTTCTATGCCAGTAAAAAGTTGTTAGGCACCATCGAGTTGGTTCCAACACATAGCGACCCTGTGCACAGCAGAACGAAGCATGTCCTGTCCTGCACCGTCCTCACAAGGGTTCCTATGCCCATTGATGCAGCCACTGTGTCCATCCCTCTCAGAGACGGCCTTCCTCTTCTTCACGGCCCCTCCACTTTACCAAACATGCTGCCCTTCTCCAGGAACCAGCCTCTCCTGACCATGTGTCCAAAGTTTGTGAGACGACGTCTTCCCATCTTTGCCTCTAAGGGGTACTCCAGCTTTCCTTCTAAATACAGTCCATGGACGTTCAATACTCTTCTCCAGCACCACCGTTCAAGTGCATTGATTTTTCTTCGGTCTTCCTTATTCAGTGCCAGGCTTGGAAACCCCGTGAGTTGGAACGGGCTCCGTGGCAGCGAGTTGCTTTGGTCTGAGCGAGGCTTCGGCACACAGGTTGTCTTGGGAGAGGACACTGGGTCGTCAGCCCATTGGTTCTGAGTGTGATTGGAAGTCTCGCCGTGACAATTCTGCCCTGGACAGAGTTCATCTAGGGGATTGAGATTCGGGAAGGCGCCCTGAGGTTCTATGATTGCACACTAAGAACTTAGGGGTTCCCCCAGCGGGTGCACCCTAGTGGATGGGGGGGGGGGTATAAAGTCTCTACTTGTTTGGAAAAGAAGGTTGGACCAAATTTGAAATGAAGGGCCCTGGTACCAACATGCTTTTGGAGTTAGGGACAGGATCTTTAGGGGTAGTAAGCCTGATTTGGCTGTGTCTCTGTGTTTGTAGCTGTGCGTGTGTTTTCTGCCAAATCTACTGCTTTGATGCTACTTTGTGGTGTCTGAAAAAAGTCGGAATGTTTCCTCAGTGGGAAAAAGGCTTTCTATTCCTGTCAGAAACCCTATAGGATTGCTGTCATCTAAGTGAACTTGATGGCAGTGAGGTGGTGTTTGTTTTTGTTTTTTTACACTTGATCTTAGCCAAAAGGCCGAGAAGCAATTGTTTTTGTTTTTTTTTAAACTAACCCAGATCTGTACACTAACTGGAGCCCAGGTAGTGAAGTGGGATACACATTGGACTGCATCTTGAAGGTCAGCAGTTTGAAACCATCAGGTGCTCAGAGGGAGAAAGAGGAGGCTTTCTACTCCCCAAAAGAGTTCTAGTTTGGGGAACCCATAGAATCAGTCCTATGCTGTCCTATAGGGTCACTATATATATTTTTAGGACACAAATAGTGTCTTTCTGCTGGTAGCACAAACCTTTTATCTAGCACACAATCAGATTATCTTGTTACTGGCAATGTTTTCATGTAAAGAAGTTTGATGGGGGCAGGCTCTGCCCACTTCCCTTTTCTCCCAGGGTCCCCCGGGCAGGTGGGGCAGCTCCAGCAGTCTTAGTCTCTGAAGGTCTCCTCGCTTGGCCTGGGTCTGTCTCCTCTATGTGCATTTGGAGAACTGGCTAAGATAGTGGTGCCTCCCCTTCCCCCTGCCAGTTGTTAGGGTGGCCAGAGGGCTGGGTGTGTGGCAAGGTCGCCCCTGCCTTAATCAGCTATAGCAGGTCCTCCTCCCTCAGGCCTCACGTGGCTCTACCTGTGTGTTGTTCTCTTTCACCAAGAGAAAAAGGTTCTGTCACTTCAGAAAAGAGATTGGAAACTCCTGGTGCTCAGGCCCTGGGATAGGAAGATGATAGCAAGATGGGCAAGAAGTGAAATTGGGGAAAGGAATGAAGCCAGCCTTCCTTGGAAGGCCCCCATGCCAACCACTCTGTAGCCAGATGGCCGCGGGAGAAGGTCTAATCATGCCAAGGCTGCCTGCTGAAATTATAACCTGGACTGAGACATTTATGTCAACAGCTGTCATCTGACTGATTGTACTGATAGGGTTGAGGCTGATGGCTGTAGCCTGGCCAATTATTAACAATGTTTTGAGAGAAGACTCTTTCAAGGACAGAATCTGCAGAACCCAAAGAAAAGCAGAATGCAGAGCCAGGTAGGGCTCATTCGGGACCCAGCACCATCCAGAGGCGAGGGCCAGCCACCATCAGCCACAGTGCAGGTTCTCGGGCAGCAAGAGACAGACCCGGGCTAGGAGGCACTGCTTGTGATTCCCATCCTTAACACCACCACCCCGCCCCAATAGTTGAGATCCTCAAAACCAGTCCATTCGTTCCTTTCTTTAAAACTGTGGGACCTCCTCAGTAAAGCCCTGTGATAGCGCGAATGGTCTCCACGTGCTGTGCCTAACTAAAACGTTGCTGGTTCCAGTCCACTCGGTGGTGCTTTAGAAGAGAGGGCTGGCAGTTACCCTCTGAAACCGGAGCCGTCGAAAGCCCTGTGGAGCACACTTCCACCCTGATGTGCGGGGGTCTCCCGGGGCACAGTTCGACTCAGTAATGACATCTGGGTTTGCTCTGATTTTAGCCTCCCTGACATTGGTGTTCTGGTCACATGAAACTGCTCCCCCTCATAAATGAGGAAGTTGGCATTTTAGGTGGCATGTTGGTTACTGTTGGGCTGCTAACCAACCGCATGGCCAGTAGTTCAAAACCACCAGCCACCCACTCCTCAGGAGCAAGACGAGGCTTTCTGCACCCGTGACGAGTTACAGTCTCGGAAATCCACAGGGGCAGTTCTCTACCTGGTTCTGTGGGAACCCCATCAGTTGGATTTGACTCTGAGAGTGTGTTTTTTTTATTTGGTCAGGCTTGTAAGTTTGGCTCGGTGACGGTCCCAAACGTGACAGCGGTTGGGAGGATGGCCCAGGGCCACGCGGTGTTACGTTTTGTCGTAGACAGGGTTGCTGTGAGTCAGAACCTGCTGGACGTCAGCTCACAAGACTCGGCAGCCCACAGCCCCACCAGCATTTGGCTGTGGGGGACAGCACACTGCCACGGGATGGGATGTTCCACGGTGGCTGTGGGGAGGTGCGTGGCTTTTATGTGGTTATTCTTGCCGTGATCTGACAACTCCCACCAAGTGATTGGGTGAGACTGTGCAAATGAGGCGCTTGGGACCCACCAAGGAATGAGAGGGGTTCTAATGTAAGACCCCTGCGTACCAGCCTCCGAGGGCAGGACCATACAAGTCAGGGGGTTGGCTCCTTGTATTATCCTGCTAAGCTTGCAAAGAGGCAGGAAAGAGGGGCTTTGTTATCCACAAGACCAAACAATGAGAGCGAGCGCATTCTTTGAGCCAGGCTCCTGGGCACAGGAGACAGGGAGAGGGTAAGGTGAGAGCAGACAGCCAGAGAGCAGCAGTGGAACCAGGAGAGCGGCGCGGTGGCCAGCAGGCTCCTGGCCCAGGGAGCAAGAGAGTGGAGCGTCTGGGCTTCCTGATCCGGGCAGTGGCTGCGCCTCAGGCTGGAAGGTTGAGCAGTGACATGGCAGGCACAGCTGAGCAGGGACTGTCCAGACCCAGGAACCATATCTTGAGTCGTTTTTGATCCTGAAGTGCCCCTTCAACGTCTTACTGCCCCCGATGTCCCTGGAGAAGGACATCCTGGCTTGGTAAGGTGGAGGGGCAGTGCAAAAGAGGAAGGCTTGATGGGATGGACTGACTCAGTGGCGGCGTGTGAGGATGGCACAGGACTGTTACACACCAGGTCTTGGTGCGGCACAACCAGTCCACCGGCCTCTCACAGCAACAGTAGCAAGTACTTCCCTGATAAGCCGTGTCAGCAAAGATGGTCTCACCAAGCCGGGAAGCAGATTGCTGGGGAGGGCCAGCCTGGTGAAAAGGTTGGACCGTGGGGGTGGGGGTGGGCCGACTCCGCCTGGTAGGACTCAGCCCAGGGTGACTCACTCTTCCCCTTAGGAAGTTAAAAGCGGTCATAACTGGGCCGTGGCTATGGTGGCCGTCTGGGCCCCTGCACACTTTGCTTTGCTGTTGGAGCCTGGTCCTTGAGGGGCTCTCTGATCACATTAGGGTGAAATTAACAGTGCCCTGGTCCTTGTGATCACTACCCATCCATTTAATGATTAATAAAACATGGTGCTCATAGCATTTCTAGCCTCCAAGGACTTGAAAATAAAGTGTAGGTGAGATCTCATCTCCTAGGGGAGAGGCTGGGAGCAGAAATGCTGATCTCATCTAATAAACAACTGAGTTTGGCTGAGGACACAGTAAATGGCGGAGCCTGTCACACGCCGGCTAAAGCTGTATCAGAACCACATGTGCCCGTTGCTTCCCTGGGTCCCAGCCCAAACTAGGATCTGTGGCACATCAGAGAAGCTGACTGGGAACGGGTGGCCTGGTGCCCGAGTCGATACGCAGACCTGAAGGAAGAAAGACCCATGGGTTGAAGGAAGGACCTGTTGCCCAGGTTGCTAAGTGCTCTCTGTTCAAAGCCCTGCCCACTTCCCTGTTAATAATAATTAAGCATTTTAGCTCCGACTAGACCAGGGGTTCTCCACCTTCCTCAGGCCGCGGCCCTTTCATACAGCTCCTCATGTGGTGGTGACCCCCCAGCCCTGAAATTATTTTGGTTGCTACTTCATCACTGTCATTTTGCTACTGTTATGAATCGGGCGACCCCTGTGGAAGGGTTGTTCGCCCCCAGGTTGAGAACCGCTGGGCTAGACAGTTGAGCTTTGGATGTTTTCTAAGCATCACTGCTATTGCTGTGTCCTAGCACCTGTGAAGCTAGTGCTGTCCAGGGAGACTTTTAACACATGCTGTGTAGTGCCCTACCCGGAGCCCTGGGGACACAGTGGGTTCCAAGGTGGGCTGCTCACCCAACTGCAAGGTCAGCAGTTCGCAACCACCAGCCACTCTTAGGGAGAATGGTGAGGCTTTCTACTCCCATTAAGAGTGACAGTCTTGGAAACCCACAGGGGCAGTTCTACCCGGTCCTATTAAGGATCTCCGTGACGGAATCCACCCCCTTCCTGAGGCTCTCACATGGGCCTTTCGTCGCACACACCTGTGACTGCAGTCCACTGAGGAAAGGCTGCAGCTTTTCTTCCATGGCAGACTCTTGAGGACCTTGTGCTGGAATCTCAAAGTTGCCGCCCAACCACAGAGCCAGACCACAGTGTCTCGCGGACAATGGATGGCGCGGGTGGCCCAGAGCAGCCTTGGCAGTGTTTGTACTGGGAAATCACACCAACCAGAGCCCTTGTGGTTGCTGAGTGTGACAGCTCGGGAATAGTCGGGATACATGGAGCCCACAGGCAAGAGGCTCCTTAGGAACACTGGGTGATGGATCTAGAGGTGTCTGGGAGCAGCCACGCTCTCTCAATGACGGAAGGAAGGTTAGGTAGCCTGGAACTGCCAGTCGGAGAAGGGCAGGCAGTGAACGCCCGAAGGACGCTGTCTTGTGTCTCGCTGATGATGCGCATAGGTGTCTGACAGTGTGGATCCTAACACACTATGGCTGGTGTGGCCACAAGTGGGAATTCCCGGACCCTTGCATATGCTCATGTGGAACCTGTGCATAGACCCACGAGGCAGTTGTTGGGGCTAGAGGATACAACAAGGATTAAAATCAGGAAGGGTGTGTGTGAAGCTTGTATCCTTTTGCCACTGACTCAGTAACAAAGACTTTCTCAAGCAAGCATGTATGAGAACACAGCGCTTACCTCCGAATGGTGCTAGCCAACATAGTGCACTCCTGTGCTAGTCTTTTGCGGGAGCTCAACTTTGAGTCCCACCTTCCTGATGCCGTGGCCCTTTCATACAGCTCCTCATGTGGTGGGGGACCCCCAACCATCACATTATTTTTGTTGCTACTTCATAACTAGAATTTTGCTACTGTTATGAATCAGGCCCCCAAAGGGGTAGCGACCCACAGGTTGAGAACCACTGCCCTAGCACATGCACGCTCTGCATGGAATTGTTTTGAGATAGACAATTTACTGAAGTGCTTCCCTTTAGACTCAAGGGCTTTACAAGGCACTTGAAGTGGATAATGCAGTGGGTTTCATTTACAGAGGGAAACATTTTAAAGGTAAAACTAGGTTTGTAATAACCCAGAAGTCTAGCTTTCTTTCTTTTTTTTTTAATCAGCCTGAACCAGATTAAAGATAAGCAGGTGGCTAGATGTGGTGTGTGACAGAGGAGCCCTGGTGGCCTTATGCGCTACTGTTGGACTGCTAACCTCAGAGTCAGCAGTTTGAAACAGCCACTCCTCCTGGGGAAAATGAGGCTTTTAGCTCCTGTAAAAATGTACAGCCGTGAAAACCTGCAGGGGCACGTTGACTCCATCCGGCAGAGTGGCTGTGACTCAGAATTGACTTGACGGCAGGGAGTCTGAGTTTGAATTCAGCCCGTATGCTGAGCACGTAATCCAAGCAGCTGGACTCTGGGAAGCAGACCAGGGCGTCAGGGTTGGAGATGCGCCTAACAACCTGTGATCTGCAGATGACACACCCTTGTTTGCTGAGAGCCAAAGGGGACTCGGAGCACGCACTGACGAAGATCAGAGATGGCAGCCTTCAGTGGGCTTACACTTCTCATGAAGAAAACACTCCTCACAGCTGGAGAGTAATAGACGCCACGATATATGGAGCGAAACGGGCCGTGGTCAGAGGTTTCGCTTTTCTTGGGTCCACAATCAAAGTTCACGGAAGCCACACTCAGGAAATCAGTGGGTGGACTGCCTTGGGCAGACCTGCTGCACAAGACCTCTTTAAAGTGTTACAGAGCAAAGAGGTCACTTTGAGGACTGTGATGGTTCAGGTTTATTGTGACAACCTGGCCGATAAACACGTGGGGTTAATTGAAGGGCAGAGAGATAAATGGCTCGGTGAGCCTCACCTTTCTGGTTCTTGGGTCTCTTGCTCTCTGATGGTCAGATCCGTGTGTGCAGCTGCCTTTGCCAGTTCTCTGCCTCAGCTGGCAAGGCTTACTGCCTGCAAGACATCCCTGAGGAGAAGCCACATGGACCTACCCCGATGCAGCCCTGGGTGCTGGAGCAGCCGAGTGGAGACCCCTGCCAGTGCTGAGATGTTTACATGCTCACTGATTCGGGCTTTCCTCCTGCATCCCGCGTCATTGCATGTGTTTTGCAAGTTTGAGGAGGGCTTTGTAGATGAGTGTTGGACATTTGGGTGAATGACGGGCGTATGGGCTTGGACTGGACGGGGTTGGGATGCTTTCTGAATGTCCACTTACCTTTTCTATAGAACTCTCGTATATACATGTGTGTGTCTGTGGATTTGTTTCTCTAGTCTACCCAGACTAACACAAGGACTAAGATGCACCTGGCTCAAGCCGTAGTCCTGTCAGTGGCTCCACGTGCGTGTGAAAGTTGGCCGTTGGATACGGAAGAACAAAGAAGAGCCACTGTGTTTGGATGATGGTGCAGGCGAAGAGTCGTGAGCGTGCAGGGGCTGCCGGAGGACAAACAAACAGGCAGCAGGCTCCTCTACAGGGAGACGATGAGACGTTGTCTCATGTGCTTTGGACGTGTGATCACGAGAGATCAGCCCCTGGTCCAGTAAAGGTTCAGTGGGCCAGAGGAAGGACATTCAGATGGACAGGAACAGTGGCTGTTGAGTGGCCCCCAGTTGCAACCATCGTAGTGTTTCAGACAGTCTGTTGGACGTGGGCTCACTAAGAATTGGAGCTGACGTGACGGCCAGAGCAATAGTCTGACTGCTGAGTGTTTAACCTCCTGCTGCTCTTACTGTCTGCCAGAGGCCTCTGAAATCTCCAAGCTTCTCCTAAAAATGCTCCTCAAAGGCCTCCCTACTGCTGCTGTCTGCCGTCTTGGCCGTCTGTGTGCGTCTGTGCCAAGCAATAGTGCGCTTGGGGCTCGGAGGCCTGGGAGAGGTACAGTTTTCTCCCACCGTCTTTCCCACAAGCCTGTTGGAGCCGCCTCCTGTGCGCTTTGATACATTGTTTATTACAGTGTGGTTGTTTACTTTGTGTTTGTTTTCCCCTGTGGTCTGGTTTCAGGAAAAGGAGAAGGAATGGCGGCGAGGAGGACAGCCACCTTCCCCCCCAGACCAAAAGGAGCAGCCGGAACCCCGTCCTTCAAGACTCCTGGGATACAGAGGTAGGGCAGGGGCCGGGCAGGCCCCACCCGCATTCGTTGCTTGAGCTAGGTCCAGTCCCCTTCTGCCGTGCAGCGGAGAGAAAGGCATTCCAAGGATAAATAAAAAGCCAGCTTGATGAGTATTCTGTCTGTCTGGGTCCTGCCCCGTCACACCGGACAAGCTTGCACATAGCCAGACAGCCAGCAGCCTGCCCCAGAGTGTGGAGCGGGGTCTGACTCGTGGTGACTCTGCAGAGGGCTTCCAGGGAGTTGGTGCCTTTGAACCTTCTGTCAGCCACCCAGCACTTCACCATGGTGCCTCCCACAACCTCCTGCCACCAAGTTGATTGTGCTGCTGGTGGCCTTGGGTGGGGTATTGGAGACGTCACTTTCTGGGAGCACACAGCCTCATCTTTGTTCCGCCGAGGAGCAGTGGGTGGGGTTTAAGTGCTGACCCCTGGTTCACGTCCAGCGTCAAACCCACACTGCCACCAGGGCACCTTTATTCATAAACTCACTGCCATCGAGTCTGTTCGCACCCACAGTGACCCTCCAGGCCAGGGTCGAGCCCCCCTGTGGGTTTCTGAGGCTGTGACTACTTAGGGATTGGAAGCCTTGTCTTTCTCCCGTCCGTGGCTGGTGGTTTCCACCTGCTGGCCTTCCAGTCAGCAGCCCAGCACCCACCCCTGACCTCACCAGGGCTGCTTCCTTTACCCACTCTCACCCCAAGTCTGTGTCTGTTAGAGGTTTCCTGGGCCTTTGTGAAAACCTTTCTTAAACCCCTATTTGATATTCCAGAAACCAACTTGGCAATTAAGCAAATCATCCTGTTTCTTGGAGGCAAGTGTATTGCTTAACCTTCCAGCTACAGATATATAATGGCCGTATTTGCAACCCACTGTGAGGCCCGTTCACCTTTCATGGTTATTCTAAAGAGAGCTGCTGTGAAGTGGGGTTGCGGGACTCCCCATTTTTGGTTTTTCAGTGGGTACTTTCGAACACATGCAGGACGAGTGCAGATTAGAACCCTCTCACCTGGAGGTCCCCGCCCTGTCTGATCTAGCTACCCAGCCTTTCTACACGTCCTGTTTAGTGCTCACTGGGGGGGCCTCAGGGAGGGCACAAAGGCCAAAGATAAGAGGCTTCCTTAAGGAATGGTAGGCAGAGGCTGTGAACTGCCACTCTTTGGGGTCCCAGGACATCCTGGGAAGGAGTTTGCAGCTGGCCTCAGGCAGCACTGTGCCTGCGAGCCATTCCTGCTGATTGGTGTGTACAGGGATGCAGCAGCGGGTTCTGTGGCAACCTCACTCTGTGGTCAGTAACCTCCTAGCCTCTCCCTGTCCTTCATGCCCATTAGCAGCGACACACCCTTGTCGTCCTCACCTTCCCTGGTTTAAAGGCAGACCTTTCCGTTCGTTTGCAGAAGTTTTGGGGTTTTTGGGTTTTGTTCCTGCTGTTTGTAGAAAATGGCCTTCACCCACTCTCTAAAGCCGCGGCCTTGGGGTCACAGAAGCAAGTTGATGGATAGGAGGACTCGGTTCATGGATCTTGTTGGGACTCGCCCAGAGGAACCTTGCCTCTGAGCCACACTGTCCTCACTCATGAAAGGATGGACTAGGTTCTCTCTTCTCTGCCGTAATTACGGGCATTCTCTTTTCAGCGAGGGAACCTGAGGTCCCAGCCGTGCATTTCAGCCTGGCTCACTGAATAGGGACCCGTCTGGGCATGAGCCTGCACCGTGCTGGGCCCCCCAGTGAACGGTACTCCCAGTGTGGGGGGCTGGGCCGAGGGCCCAGGGGAGCTCGAGGCCAGGCAAAAGAAACCAGCCGTCCACATGGAAAGTCGCTCAGCCATCAAGCTGATTCTGGCTCAGAGCCCCCTCCCTGTAGGACCGCGTAGCACTGCCCAGGGGGTTCCCAGGCTGACACCTGCACTTCACACAGACGAAGACTTGCTCCTTGAGAGCCTCTGGTGGGTGCAGATTGCCAGCCCTCTGCTAGCAGCCCAAGCCTTCCCCTTGTGCCGCCGGGAGGCCGGCCATCCTGGAGTAGACACTTGTGTTCATGAAGCAGACATGTGTTTAAGGCGCTCTGGTTTCTTTCTGATATGGGGTATAAAAGAAATCCGTAAAATATTACCAGATGAATATCTTTATATATTGTTGGGCCAACAGCAAGATATAAGAACCAATTTTTTTGTGTGTCTCTGCTAATATATGTAATAGGATTTTTTTTTTTCACTTTCATAGGGGAGGAATTTAGTTTTTAAGAGAGACTTCAAATTGTTAGCTTAGAATTTGTTTCCAGAAACTACATTTCCCCCCAACCAAGTGCACTAATGTTGGCTAGCCTGGTGAGTACGGCTTGGGGGCTGTGCTGCGGCACTCGGCCATGCTGGCGAGGCTCGGCCGGGCCTGTGAAATGGGACATCGTGTGCTTCCTTTCCCCAGGGCAGTTAGGGAGACAGAAGCCTGGCACCTTTGGTGTCTTTTCTCATCCGGTTTTGTGTCGGGCTGTTATCCCTACTTGCCAGAGTGAAAACCGGGGCCAGTGGGGTGGGGAGCAGCTTCAGTCACAGGGAGAGAGGATGTGGTGGTGCTTCTTCTCCGACTCCAGTGATCCCGTACAGAAATACCCCCGGGGGTGTCTGCAAACACGTGGATTCTCCCTGTGGGAGGCTAGATGTCTAGACGTGGACTGGCAGCTCGCAGGGAAGGGCCCTTCTCCCGGGTCCCAGCATCCCCTGGAGCTCTCTGTGGGTCGTGTGTCCGTCTCCCCCTGGGTCTAGGAAGTGCACAGCTCAGGGGCCCTGGGTGCAGAGGACACGCCTCACTCCTTGGCGCTGAGGTCCCCTAACTCCTCCTCTCCTTGAAGGGATCAGAGTGATACCTGACAGCTGCTCCTTGTCTTCTCCCCAGTAGATATGGGGTGAAAGAGGCAACCACAGTGGGGAGAACAACGTGGAGCTAAGGCCAAGGGCCTCCCCTGACGCAGCCTGGGTCTGGTTCCTGTCGGAACTGGGAGGAGCACCACTCTAATGTAATGATCCCAAAACTCCAAGGGCGGTATTAGTGTAGAGGTGTGGCAGAAAAGGAAATAACAATATAGAGGAGTCCATGTATCTTTAAAATCAGTATTCTGTAAAACTATAATTTTAAACTGATTAGAAGAAATTAGATGTTAGGTACCTCTAATTTGTATTTTACTTTACCTTTTTGATTTCTAAAAGGTGAACATTGATGACGATTTCGATAATTGGTGTAAGTTTCCTTGAAGGTTTTTTGAAGGCTTTTAAGTTTTTGCCTGCTCTCGTCAACTGCAAGCCCAGGCGGTGGTGGGTGCAGTCGAAGGGTTTGGGGGTAAAGCTCCTGTCCTGGGTAAAGCACCGAGGGTTGGGTGTTTAATCTACAATAAACGTATTAAGGTGGCAGAACAGCCCTTTCAAAGTGTCACTGGAAGCACAGGGGTAAAGAAAGCTCACTCCCCCAAGTGCTTGGAGTGCTGGAAACATAGGGAATTCAGTTCCTACATCCTCCTCTGAGCCCAACTAGTGGGTGAATTGGAGCAGGCATTGAATGTCAGAGAGTCAAGTGCTTGTCTTAGTCTGTGCATGTTTGTCTTGGCCCTTCTCTGTGGACACTTCCAAATTCACTGGAGTGTCATAAACAGGGCAGGTAACACCACCGCCATGGAGGGGGTCCTGCTCAGAGGGGCCCTGTTGGACAGGAGAACTGCCTGTGCGGATTTGAAACTATCACACCTTTTTTTATTAAATCACTTTATTGGGGGCTCAGACAACTCTTGTTACAGTCCACTGTGCCAAGCACATTTGTACATTTGTTGCCATCATCATTCTCAAAACATTTTCTTTCTACTTGAGCCCTT